GGATATGGGGTCTCCCTCTGTTGCCCAGGCTGGAGTGCACTGGCGTGATCATGGCTCACTGCATCCTCAACTTCCCAGACTCAAGCGATCCTCCCACCTCAGCCTCCCAAGTAGCTGAGACTACAGGCAAGCACTACCATGCTTGGTAAATTTTTACATTTTTTACAGAGACAGGGTCTTGCCATGTTGCCCAGGCTGGTCTTGAACACTTGGGCTGAAGCAATTCGTTGTTCTCAGTCTCCCAAAGTGCTGGAATTATAGGTGTGAGCCACCTTGCCCAGCCAAAAATACATTTTTGGTGGGTCACCTGAGATCTGGAGTTCAAGACCACCCCAGCCAACATGGCAAAACCTTGTCTCTTTTAAAAAATAAAAAATTTAGCTAGTGCGGTAGCTCACACCTATAATCCCAGCACTTCAGGAGGCTGACGCAGGTAGAACACCTGAGGTCAGGAGTTCAAGACCAGCCTGGCCAACCTGGTGAAACCCCATCTCTACTAAAAATAAAAAAATTAGGTGGACCTGGTGGCAGGCGCCTGTAATCACAGGTATCAGGAGGCTGAGGCAGGAGAATCACTTGAATCTAGGAAGTGGAGGTTGCAGTGAGCTGAGATCACACCACTGCACTACAGGCTGGTGACAGAGCAAGACTCCATCTGGGGGGGAAAAAAAAAAATATATATATATATATATATATATATTTATATCTGAAGGATACATCCCTCCTTAGTCTTCCTCTTCATTCCCTAGCAGTTTGGTATTTGGCATAATTTTCAAAATTTACTTGAGATTATTTTATCACATTAAATAACATACCTGTCTCACTGGGAGAAGCAGATTTAACAAGTCTTAATACATAGAAGGAGCTTAGAATAGTGCCTGTTAAGTAAATAGCCAGTAAGGTTAATTACTATTTTTCAGTGACAGAAGTCCAACTCAAGCTATCTTCTGGGAAAAAGTGGACTTTATAGGTTCATATAACTGATACCTGCAGTGTGGAACTTGGCCCAGAGCTCTAGATGGTTTCTGCATTTCTCCACGTGGAGGATGCTCATAGCAGAGGACTCTGCCTCGGAGGCCAGCAGCCACAGGAGGAAGAGGGTATCTTCCCAAAGCTCTAGTGGAGAAGTCTCGGGGAAGGTGTGAACTGAACTAACTTTGCTCAAAGGTCAATTTCTGAGTCAAATGCTGGTGAGGGTGGGTGTGCTGGCCACTTAGCCCTCTGGTCAGCCCTGCCTGAGTGGTGTGGAATGGGTTCTCTGCAGGAGAGGGTAATTCTGCCTGTAGAAGGAGGACAATGGGATACTGGTTAGAAAAACTATCTTTCCTTGCGTATTAATTTCTTGAAGTACTTCTTTGTTGCCTCTATATATGGTCCACATTATTAGTAAGTTCTTATTTAAAAAAAAAAAAAAA